TCTTCCACACACTCCAGGAACCTCCTGGAGGTTATTCAGTTAATAAGGTGCAGAAATCCAGCAGGTTCAGTTTTGAAGTACAAAAATGTTCTGTTTGTTAGCTTTCTTTAGTTGCTTGGGAACACTGCTGCCTATCAAGTTGTCAAAAAAATATTTGCCCAACGCTTTAGTCTGTCCTGGGTATCTCCTAACCATGTGCTGTTACCAGTGCTTCTCTAATACAAGTAAATTCTTATGTCTCTTGCCCAGTGTTGAAAACAAAGTTAGGCAAGATGTTCAGCTCATGTAAGCCATTGTATCATTATTAGGGTAAGTCATACTTTGCTGATTCATGTGACCTTATAACACGGAGTGATGATTTCTGCATGGACTGTAACTTCAGCAAATGCCTTCAATCACTTTCCACTGTGGATTTTGTTAGTTTTAAAAATGTGTTTTCAAAGATGCTAGTGGCTGCAGAGGACAAAATATGTTCGTCAGATGATGGCTTTCAAAAACTTGAACAGAATTCTACAGAAAGTGTGAGTGGAAACATTTCTCTGCATTTCAGATCTCTTTACCTAAAGAGTTTTTTTCTGTCTTCCTCAGCAATGAAATGTCCCACATATTTGACATATGATCACTGCCACAAAGCCTGCATAAAGCACTGTGAGAATAGTACCAAACTCAGTGTCTGCAAGGATTATCCCACAGAAGGCTGCTTCTGTCCAGACAGACAGGTGATTTTTAATGACAGCTGTGTTGATGAAGAAGTCTGCACACAATGCATCAGTGAAGATGGCACACACCATCAGGTAATTACATACTTAGCAGCTTACCTTTGTACGTGGCTGGAGTTTGTACTTTTGCAAGTAAATCTGTCTTATAAGTCTAACTGTTTTCCCCTTTGGACTCTTTATTTTCTAGCTCAGTTCCTCGTAACTGGCCGGCTGTCAGCCCTATGTAGCTCCCTAGTGTGAAATTGGCTGGGATGGATATAAAATTCACAGCTGGGACTGTACAGACCCGGAAATGCATGACAAATTTCTGTGGAGGGAGGTCTAGAGGGAAGAGAGGAGGGATGGCATAAGTCAACATTTACCAAGATAAACACCTCCATTCAGCAGGCTTTTACCAGAAATGACAATTTAATCATAAATCTGGAACCCTTGCTTAAAATGTATCGTATTGGCTTTGCAAAGCTTACTGAAATATTTTCAGTGGTTGGTGTGGAGCAGTGAGGCCAAGACGACCTTATGTCAAGTTATATTAGCCTACCGCCTTTTTTTTCATGAGAATCATTCCTTTGATTAAATGAATCATTTTAGTTTTACTGAAAATCCACTTTCCTCAGCTAAGTCAGACCTCTCTGTGGCAGAATGGGGTTGGGAAGAGCTACGGGTGCTGGGTGCCAGACTGTGGTGAAAGAGACTGTTGATTTCCCTTTCAGCATCGCACAGCGGGGTGCACAAGCTCCCCCATACGTCCCCTGCTCCAAGTAGCAGGGGTTGTTCAACTTCACCCCCAGCTACTCAGCTCTGGGAGAGTTTTCACCTAAGTCAGCCAGTCCTCTTAAATCTGCAGTTTTGTTATGAGACTTTAAGAAGAAGTGGCTTTAATTTCAGTATTTTATGGGCTTTAGATACTTATGGGATTTTTGAATGGTCTTATCGTACTCACCAAACCTGCTGTCAAAGGCATAATCATTTTTGTAACATAGATCTTCTGTAAATAACAGAATTCTCTGTATGTCTGTGTGGATAGTCTATTCTTTAAGTAAAAAGGTAGATTTGAAAAAGTAAATGACTATATGTACTCTGAATAACTTCATTTTACACACGCAAATTTAGACTCACATTTAGTTCAGCAAGAAATGTGTTATAAATGTTTACAGTTAAACTGAAAGGAAGAAAAGACTATTTGTGGCTGAAACGTCCCTTTTAAATATTGTTTGCATTGACATAATGACGTTAACGTAATGATAAAAGCATCAAACTTAACAGAGCAAACACCTTCCTTTAGGTGATAGGCTACCAGCGAGCAATGCACTTGACGTAGTGAAGCAAGTGTTCCAGGCACTGCTTTGCCAACGCAAGGGTCGCACTGATTGCAGGTCTGCACCGGGAGCCCTGCGTGCGTCAGTGCAGCTTGCCCTCACGCAGGACAGCTCCACGCGGGTCCGAGGATGCCGGCCCTGGCATCTCACCTTGCTACGGCTTGTGCCTTAGTGCTGCCTGCTGGTACTGTCAAAGAACAGCGTGCTGAAAAAGTATTCACTAAATACGATTTTGAGGGTTTCCTACTGCTGGGCAAGGGGCTGGTACAGGAGCCTAACAGCATTGAGCCCCCTCCTCAGGTGTACATACCCTATAGATTTTGGCAGTGGGAGGGAAGACATAGGGAAAGTGTGTTCTTTTGTTCCACAGCTGCATTATCCAAATAACGTTTTTCAAAACAAAACGTTAGGGTTTTCTGAAGGATTGAGCACATGGACCTTGTACTAGCTTTTATTTTGAGGTCACAGTATCTCCATACATATGGCCATGATTTTTTCTTTGTGTTCTGTTTTGAATCTTTGTTTTATATATAGTATCATTGGATTTGTGTAGTGCTTGTAGAGTTGGTAAAATGGAAGGAAAAAAACCCCAGTAATTTTTGTAATAAATGGAATAGAAAAAAATCTTTTTATTTCTCTTGAAGGAAAAAATAGCTTGCAATGTATATGATCACTGCCCTAGACACTGATCAATTGTGCACAACTCTCGGTGACCCTGAGAACTCTAGTTATTATATTATGATTCTATATGAAATGGTTATTGCAAATGCAGATTAAAGCCTAGGATCTGTGTGCCTTAAATCCCTGAATCCTGAGGCAATGCAGTGCATTTTCCATTTAAATAATTGTTTCAAGCCCTCATGGAGAAAAGCTCAGCACACATCTTGGGAATAACGTCTGCATGATATCTACTAATTTCTGCAGAAGTTCTGAAATTCATGAGTTGTCGCATGCCCCTTAATGGGGTTTTAACTCTGAAAACCTCTCGTCTGTACCCCAATGGCAAGGCTTAGCTGCAGCTGCTGTGTGGATGGGGAGGTGGAGGGCAGGGGAGGATCAGCTCACACAGCCGTTTTGCGTCTCCACCGTTGCAGGATTAGCTGTTTGAGCAATACAACAGGCAGTGCAACTGGTGGTGGGTTATGGTTTCCTTAACCCCCTTCTTTCCCTCTGGTGTTCTTTCCTCTTTCCGTTCTACCCCAGATTGTGCTTGGGCTTATGGGATTCTCAGTATCAACACCTATATAGAGCTCTACTAACACAGTTCTATCTCTTGTCATTTCTTCTGGTATTAGAAAGAGACTCCTATTTATGCTGAAGAAAACCTGTCCAAAAATTGAGGCTGCTGAAAATGTTAGAGCAAATGTTGTGATTTTATTTCTCTGCATCTTGAAATGTCCACATGCTTTTCACATCACCACCTGCAACGTGATTTGGATCCCAGGCTTTGTTAAACCACTGGTTGACTTGTTCTAGCATGCCTGCTGTCTTATTCTTGCCATGCTGTTAACCTTTGAAAGTAAACTGTCTTTTCAGACTCCTGTGAACGTTTAAAATACATAGATATCTCTGGGTACAGGTGGCAGTATGCTTAGATATTTCCTTCCTTTCTTCTTATTACTAAAGATCTCAGCAGTTTTCTGGATGACACTTTTTACCTTTGTGGCGTCCTAAGCTACTTTACATGTTCTCATCCAGAACCTGGATCGATTGTGCAAATTAACGTTATTGTCCCATAATGCATCTTTTCACTCTTACCTGCATATGGGTTTTAAACATAGATAGTTCTTTATAGATAACTACATCTTAAAAATCAGTGATTTTCCTCTCTCTCAAGAGAGAGAGCAGTGGTTAAATAATGATATACTTTACTGGCAATTTCTGAATGTGCTTATTACCTTCAGGTAATCACTGCAGTGATAGTTTCAGATTTGGGCTTGCTATAGTGCTTTTCCAGTCTGCACTCCACTGGGAAATCAAGTGATGACCCCCCACATACTCTTAATAAAAAATATGCACCGTTTATTTCTCTGTGTTTAAGTACTACTAATTTGGGAAAGCAGCCACTTCTATGTATTTCCCAAAATATTGTTGTTTCCCTTATTACCTCTGAACATCCAATCATGGTATGTAGCTGCATGAGTCCACTGTTACTCACAATAGCCTGCGATTGCATTTATAACATATAAGCGTTTTTCATGCTTAAAACAATAGTAATTCCTCATCCCATTCATGCATTCTTTTGCTAAATTGGTACACTACAGTCATTTCAGAATTATGTGTCTCCTTAGATTCTTACTGTTAACAGAGCAACCAACCAATCCTGGTCTTCTGGTTTTCTAAATTAATGTTGCTCAACCTCACCCACTCCCATCACCAACATGCCAGTGGCCAGAATATTTGATTTCTTTCTAACAATCTGTTTTTTTTTTCATGCAGCACATGGAAACATGGGTTCCTGCTAGTGAGCCTTGCAAGATCTGCACATGTCTTGATAACAAGAAAGTAAACTGCACCGTCCGACCTTGCCCTACTGCCAAACGTAAATTTGTTTAGCTCTAAGTATGATTGGACTTGAAGTTTTTGTTACCTAGTTTTCTAGTTCTTATCCAAACTTGTTTTATGGATGTTTTCTTCTTGCTCCAGCTGTTCAGTGTGGTCCCTGTGAAGTCCCTCGTCTGCGCAGAGACCCCGGCCAGTGCTGCCCCGAGTATGAGTGTGGTAGGTTCTCATAAACTGTTGGAATCTTCTCGGTACATATTTTTACGAAATGCTTCAAAGGGATACAATCCGTGTTTTTATTTAATGCAATACTCCATTTTTTAAACCACTGAATGACCGTACAATCATCTATGTGGAAAATAAAAAAATAAACATCTCCTGAGGTTGTGAGTCTCAATTCACTTCAAACTTGACTTTCTGTAAGAGATGAAGAAGGAAACAAAGCAATTTGTTTTCGTCTAAATGACATTAGAATGGTCTTTTTTCAAGTATCTGTTTTTGCATGGTCTATATTTGCACATTAAATATAACATTAGAACCTTAATCCTCATAACCCAAACTTGAACTGTTCCCTAAGCTATTTTGAAAACAAACTCTGACCTGCTG